AGTTCTCGCCAAGCCTAAGTGTGTCTCTTTCTTTCACCAGGGCTACGACCGAGGGTAAGTGTGTGTCTCTCTCTCTCTATATATATATATGTGTATATACATCCGTGTCCACAATCCTGCACTTGGCCCGTTTGCGCCAGCTGGCCTCATGTGTCGTTGTGCGCTGCAGGGAGTTCTGGAAATTAGCACGCGCGGAGACGCGATGGCTCCAGACTGTGCAGGGCTCCCTCCAGTGACTTTGGGAACTTCAGGCTCCTGGCAGTGCTCCAGACACGTGGGAACAAACTTGGGCAGCATGGACTGACAACATTCGTTCCAGACCCCCTGAAGACGGCCCAGGCTCGAGCTATACGCAGTGAAGCATGGGAGGCGGCAAGCAAGGCGCACAAGGCCTCTTGGCACGCCAGCTGCAAGGGCTGGGGGCCATACTCATTTTTGGCCTTCCCCTTGACTGGGACTGCCGCTATTTCTGCGGACCATGTCAGCGCACTTTCCGCAACCGACAACAATGGTCCGTGCACGCTTTTAAGACGCATGGACGGAAAGCCGTTGGGTGTACGTAGTGTCCTCACCGGCAGTCAAAGCCAATGCTAGCTGTTTGCGACAATTCAGTACAAATCTCAAACTGTGTAAACACTTGGCCGCCGGACATGGGTGCCCTGCGGAGCCTGGACAAGGCAGCCGGAGTGCTGAAGACGGTGGCAAGCACCAGGCGCCCGTCTTGCAAGCCTCCGGGCCTACCCTGTTACTGACCGCACTTGGCTGGATGCAGCAGACAGACCTGTGGCGGAGGTCGTGGACTGCATCAGCCACATTGGCTTTGGGCAGGTCCACCTGTCAGAGGAGGAGCTTTGGGATCGCCTGCGTGCAGCATTCACCTGTGTATGCGCGCCCACACCACGGCTGCGGCTTACTGCATCCTTCGGCGGAATCTTCAAGATGATGCTAGCCCGTCTGACATACTCACCCCACGACTGACAATCGCACTTGAGTGGATCGAAAGTGCAGGCATTGTGGAGTGGCTGGTTCCGGCACCTGACTATGTTGCTGCGAACTGGCACACCTTCAAGGACTGTGAGACTGTTCTCACAGTGCTTGAGGTTGCTGCGATCAACCTCCCAGCTCCTCCTCCGCACGGGAGTGAGCTGATCTGGATCTTTGTAGGCCCTGATGACTGGTGTGACTCCAAGACGGCTCGGATGCCATGGCGTTTGGATTTACCGAGTTTGCTGAGACTCTTGCTAGGGGCGACACACCCAGCAGGCAAGCAGTTTTTCTCTCACCTGTCCCATGAAACCCTACTTGGGGACCTTGTCCGCCTTGCCCTCCGACTTTGGGGGCTCGGCGTCTCCATGTGCCTCACATTTCCTTCCCCGGCTCCTGGTGTGCTCTCTCCCCTTTCAGAGATCGAATCCCTGGAGAGCTATGTGAGCAGTGAAGGCCACTTCCTCAGGAACAGATGGCCAGGCTGGTGAGGGGTCTGCTTTTGTAGCTTCGCTTGATTAGGTGCCCCTGGGCTGCACCCGACTCAAGACGCTTTGCCCGAAACAGGAGAAAGACGAGATGTGTACGTATCTAGAAATGTATAAATGTATATATCCATCCATCTATCTATGTACCTATCTAACACGTGGTGATGAAGGACTTGCATAAATTACTTAGGCAATCTTCCAGCATGCATCATCGTTGCCGATGGAAATGCTATTTGTCGCATTCTCACGACGCACTGTCTGATCCGGATAGCAGCGCGAAGCGCACTCTTGGTATATATCCCTTACACGGCGAGCACAACGGTGCTGTCTTAAAGATGGTCAGGTTTGGCTGGGTTTGGCTTAGTTTGGCTGGCTTGGCTTGGGCCTGGCTTGAGCAAAGCGCACCCTCTTTTATATAGCTTGTGCAGCAGCGATGGTACGGAGCGCAAAGGGCGAAGTGGCAGTCTTAAAGATGGCTTGTTTTGGTTGGTGGCTTGGCTTCGGCTTGGCTTGAGCGGGTGTGGCACCTCAGGACCTGCGCAAATATGCTGCCGAAACAATCTCCAGCTTCATTGTCGCGTCTCATGACTCCTTGCTGTTCTGGTCGCACTGTCTGCTCGGGATAACAAACCCAAGTGCACCCTCTTGGTGCCTAGCTTGTGCAGCAGCGATGGTACGGAGCGCAAAGGGGCAGGTTTAAAAAACCATGGCTTGGCTTGGCTTGAGCGGGGTGGTGTGTGGGGGGGCGGCCTGCCCCCCCCAGGCACACCTGCCAATGAAGGACTTGCATAAGATATCTAGAGATTCTTCCAGCAAGCATCGGCAAGCGCGCTGACGACGGCGGCAGCAGCAAGGCTCGCGTTCGGAGTACTCCGTTGTTGTGCGGAGGGTACATTTAATCACATTGTCTGCCTAGAGTCCGCCTCAAGGCGTTTGGCACAAGCACAGAGAAGGGTCTCTGACCCGCCACCCCGTGCAGAACTTGTGAGTGCTTTGCATTACCTTCGCAGTCTAGGACTAGGAATTCACTTCCGCAGTCCTGTGCCCGACTTGTTATTATCACTGCTTTGTTTATCCGTCTGTTTAGGACCCAGGTCTGGTGTCACTGCTGGTTTCCTCACCCTGTAAGCGCCTCATAGAACCTCCAGCCATGGCCGATGACGCAATGGCAAAAAAGGAGGAATCAGAGCCGATGGATCTGGACATGGAGGACCTCCCGGAGGAGGAGGCAGGAGACGGACAGACCGGTGAAGTTTCAGCGCCCGAGAACCAAAGGGCGGAAGAAATCAAGGCGGCCGAGGCAAAGGACCACCTCTCCGACAGCCAGGACAACCATCCAATGCTACATGAGCAGGGAGAGGCAAACAGCCCGGAGAGCAGGACCAGAACCGGCAGGACCTGGGAGGGTCCAGCAAAGACCTTCAGCGACTCCGAGCCCATGTCAACATGCTCACTGCCCTGATCCTGCGCCACGACAACCAGATCAACATTGCCAGCCTTCTTCCTGAGGACGGATATACGGGAAGCATGGCGACGGCATTGTATCAGACGGGGGTGTTCTCATGCAGGGCCTTCTTTCGACGGTCTTGGCACGTTTCGAGCAGATGCTTGCGGACCTGGAGAAGCAGGCGATGGCGATCAAGCTCGGCTGGCTCAACTCGGAGGGGAGCCAAGTCACGGGGATGAAGTGGGGTCAGAGAACCAAGAAACACATCGTGGACCCGACGATCCAGGCCATGGACACGAAACAGGTCACGGAGACGATAACGGAGCTCGTCCTCTGTAAGGCCCGTCTGGTGGTGAACAAGTTTGATGCCACACGGCCGATGGCAGCAAAGTACGAATCCCCCGTACTTCCGATGATGTTGGGCATCGGCTTCAGAGTGGCAGAAGTGGACCGGGCCTGGAACCATTGCAATGCTGTGAGCAAGTCGCAGTGGATCTGTGCATGAGCCTTCATGCGCCACGGCAGGCTGCAACGAGGGGCCCTGGCCCAGCGCCTAGCCATGTTCATGGCGAAGCAGAATCAATGGTGGCAAAGGTCCTCAAAGTGAAGCTTCCAGAAAAGCCCTGGACTCGAGGATACGATGGGATCTAGTTGGGTTGCCAGGCTTGAACAAGATGGAGCTGTGCCTGATTGTGAAGAGAAGTTTCCACCCAGCTTGGGCTCCGTCCTCCTAGTCCTGGCACTGAGAGGGTGTCTATGCCACAGCTTGTCGATGAGTGGCACCTCCACAATCATGCACATGCACTGCTTGCACCCTTCCGGGGTCTGGTCTTGCAGGCCGGATGTTTCCATTTCGACGCGACCACTGGCAACACTCAAAAGCTTAAGTATCACGTCATTCCGAGCCGTGAGCTTGTGCTTCCCGTCTTCCATGAAGGTGTTGCAGTGACACATGTCGTGTACAGGTTGAATTCGTTCGTGCTCCGCCTAAGCGAAACCCCAGCAAGTGGCCATTACCAGGCCATCATGCTCGATCATGATGACATTCATCTGTTGGACGATAACGTTCCTTCCAGGGCCTGCGGTCTCGATGAGTTTGAGGATGGTTGCTTGAACTCGTATCTTTTCTTTTACAATCGAGCCGAATTTTGATGTGGCCCACGGCCTTGCTCATGGGGTGCACGCACCGGAGGCCGTTCTGAGTAGTTCGGGATGTGGCAACTGACCACAGCGATGAGCCGAGGCGCTAAGCATCTGGTCCCCATCATCGTTCGCAGAGCGCATAGACTTTGCAACGGGGAGTGAGTGAGTGAGTATGTATGTATGTATGTATGTACGTACGTATGTATGTATACTTTGATTTCTTCCCTCCTTTCCTTATTTCTTCCTTCCTTCCTTGCCTCCTTGCTTCCTTGTCTTCACTTCCTTCCTTCCCTCGCTCCCTTCCTTGCTTCCTGTCTTCCTTCCTTGTTTCTTTCGGTGTTCCTTTCCTTTCTTTCGTCGTTCCCTCCTTCTTCCCTGCTCTCCGTCTTCCTTCCTTCCTTCCTTGCTTCCTTCCTCTTTTCTGCTAGTTTAACCTTTTATTGATCAAACAAATGTTTCTAGTCCGAATTAATTGTGTTTGATCCCTATCACTGTTTGCCCTGCTCGGCAGGCATTCTACTCAGGGTGACAGGGCTAAAAGGCTACGCAGAAGGCCATGTTGGGAACAGTCATGGACGCAGTTGTGAGCCAGCCGAAGAATAACAAAAAGATACATAACGTCATGAGTAGAATCGCAAAAGGTTATCACGGCCAAAATCCGAACAAACAACAGCTTTGATACCCCGGCAGAATGCAGTTCGAGAAACACGTGTGTCGGGGCCCAGATCAAAGATCCAAAGATGCTCATCACGAAGGTCAACCTCACAAACGGGTCGTCTCTTGTTTGTATGAGACAAAAGGATGAATGGGACTTGGCTGGAATGTGTCTCGTTCGGGCGCCTCAAAACAACCAGGTACATCCAGGTACACTGCAGGACGTGGCGCGAAGAAGCAGGCAGCTTATGCGTCAGGCGGGCAACTGTGTGGCCGAGACAAATCAATCAATTCTTTTTCTCTCCTCTCCATCGGCCCCTAATGGCCTGAAAGACAAGCACTACATATGTCCTTCGCCGCCCTGAGTCGTCCGGCTGATGTGGCGCCAGATTGGCCGAATCAATCTTCATTGCCGGGTGTCAAGTCATGTTGACAGGATGGGCACAAGCAGGTCAGGCGACAACTGTACCAAAATGGGAGCGCGGTGTGGGGCCGGCAACTATCCTGCATGACGTGTGGACCTGCGTGTAACCTTATATATATATATATGTATGACACAGAAGTCCCATTTACGCCTTTCTACTGTGCAAACCTCTGCGCTTCTCAAGGCTTTTTAAGGCTTACGCACACGCCCAAGATATCCCAAGATGGTTTCGCGAATAGAAGCAGTCTATGTGAGAGACAGCGCTCTATTGTATCAGAGTGTGGGAGGACTCAACAGGCCCACGGATTTGATTAGGCACCTCGAGGATGTCAACAAGAATGTTACATGCATACATACATACATACGTACATACGTACATGCATGCATATATAAATGCATACATGCATACATCCATGCACACAGACATGCATACACATACACGGAGATACATCGGGACATCGATACTTAGATGCATAGATACAAACATACATACCTGCATACATACACAACAAACTTCCTCAACGCGCCTTATGAACCTTGTCCAAATCTTATATTTGCCTTGCTTGTATGCGCCCGCAAGCACAAGCCAGAGCTTCGGCACAAGCAGAGCACGGGCCGTCGATATATCCAACTAACCGACACTGTATAAGTAAATCTCGTACAGCCTTTTGAAATGCTTTATGTCAGGCTGTGCTTCTGAATGACCTAAACCTTTTGGCCCAAATCTGGGTAGCTTCTCAGAAACGGACTCCATGTCTGCTAGCAGTGCGGGTACCCTAAACAAGCTTTGCAGAAGCCATAATATATGATGGCGCGAAGCTGCTGAGACCACCCATAATGCTTTGCAGATTTGCAGAACCCCTTTGCTCTTTGGCCTGTAGAAGACGTGCTTCCGCCATGACTTAATGTTCCTCGAGCGTGTGGCAACACTATGCGGATAAAGGGATCGCGAGGCGTGCTGCACATCTTGAACCAAAGGCTCTGCATTCTGTGCCATGTCCACCCACTTGAAATTACAGCATTTCGCGTTTCGGGGCGGAGTTCGTGCTCCTGCCAGAACACCGCCTTTGCTCCAAGACACTCATCGGGTCCACTCCGTTAGTACTCCATTTGGCCTCTCGGGTCTTGTAGTTCATCAGCGCTGGTGTACATGATTCCGAAAAGCCAGCGTCCGAAATCGTACGGCCGCTCGTATTTTCTAGCTTTCACAGCCGCATGCTTCCCTTGGGGCAGGTTGCCACTGTTAGCTTCGTCGCTCCTGCTGCAGTCCTACGCGTCTACATCTAGAGCTATAGCTTTATTGCAGGATGCTTTGATCTTCAGTGTGCGTTATGATTACATGTTGATGCTTTTTGCGGGCCCCTGGGATCTCCTGTGACTTCAGGCGACGTCTGCTAACTGCTTGGCCCTCTTGTCTCGGCTCGAGAAGGGTCGGGCATGAAGGCACGAGCTCGTGAAATGAAAACTCAGGTACCCTGAATCCTCAGTCCTGATAAAGCCCCAACATTATGGTCGAGCCTAGCTGCAGGAATGCAATACTCCAGCGGCAGCACTTGGAATCGTTCCACCGCAGCTGCAACCCCAGCTTCAGCAGCGGCAGGCAAGTTTGTGCTGTCAACAGGCTTGTGACAGGAGCCATGCCCCAATCCACCTGGCTGCGTAGCACTATGCAGCAGGTGGTCACGAAGGTAGGTTCTGCAAGTGCGTACACGAGCCTGGAGATTTGGATCGTCATTATCATCTGTATGATGCAGAGCTGACTCTGTCCACGGGCGACTACATAGTTGCTGGGTCAGGAAGATGGCCTGGGGGATGTATGCGCCATATCATTCAGACTCGGACATCCTAACCTGAAGCCCTTCAGCAACAAGGCTAGACAGCAGGTCGATCACCACAAGACATTGTCTGAGCAGAATATCGACGTCCACGTCAATATTGTTCTGTAGGATCCACCCGGGCCTGAATTCAGGATCCCTGCTGAACCTCTACTTCGAGCAGCCCAGGCACAAGGTCCCGCAGCATCCAGGCAAAGAGATCAAGACCGGATAGATAAGGAAACCACGAGATGGCCAAAGCGACGTGATCTGCCAGGTAGGGCACGCTACTCCTCGGTTTTTCATCCTAAAACCTCGGTCGATAAAGCAGCACTAATGCGAGTTGGGATGCTTAATTTGAGAACTAGGACTTCAGGCATGGCGAAGGAGTCTGTTCGTGTCAGGTTTGGGTTGTCGCAAACCGTGCTCGGTACCATGAATTCACACATGCCACCATCTCAAACTCTGAGAAGCTCAGGTTGCCAAGGCTCCCCACTACCATGTAGACCAAGTACTTCATTGGCCTTGAGAACAGCTTCGCGCCAATTGTTCGTCAAAGGATTCATCTGCTTCTTCCAGCTCGAGGATTCAATACGTAGGATGCTAGGCTTTGTCTGGCCTTGCGGTTCTGCATTTTGGGGTGTGGGATTCAAGAAGTAGTGTGAAGTTCGGGTGCTGTTCGGTTTCGGACTTAGGGTTGAAGGTTAAGGAGGGTGTGGGATGGTGTAGGGTCTAGGGTTTAGGGCTTCGGGTTGAATGTCTACGGCCTCTAGGGGTTAGGCCGGAAGGTTGTGGTTTTAGGGAAGTGCGCCCTGAACCCCAAACCCAACGCCCAACCAAAGCCCTACTCCTAACCTACACACCTTAAGTGCTACCCTCCAGTACCCACAGACTGAATCCCCCACCACCCCAACCCCCTGCCAGCAACACCACCAGCACCACCAGCACCACCAGCACCACCAGCACCACCAGCACCACCAGCACCACCAGCACCACCAGTACCACCACCACCACCAACAACAACAACAACAACAAGAACAACCACAAACAACA